CTGAACACATTCCAGGCACATTTTATTCCTTAAAAATCGCTCACCAAACACAATCAAGGCGTTTTTTTATTCTTTTGTCACCAATCAGTGTTACACTCCTGACCCGGATTTCCCCATTCCAAGACTGGCTTGTACCAATTCCAGGACAAAAAAATAAAAATAAATCCAAGCTGTCTCTCTCTCTCTCTTTTTTCTTTTTCTTTTTTTTTTCTGTCATGGAGCCCAAATAAATTCCTGCCAGGACACAGCATCCAATCCTTCCAACAGAATCCCTGCAAAAACAGGGAATGGGAACTTTTCCCTTATCTAAGACTCTTCTGGTTTTGCTCATTCAGTAAAGCTGAGTGTCCTGGGGACTGCAGCAAAGTCTGACAACTTAAAGAGTCACAACATGAAGTTTACCAGGAAGATGATGAATTAAATTTCCCCAAAAATGTAGGGAATGCCAAATTAAACCAGCATTGACCTCAGTTTTCTGTCTTGTGTCCAGAGGTCCTGGCTCATCCCAGCCCTTTGCTGCTTTTGGAGCTCTTTGCACTCCAACAAATGCTTTAAATCTGATGAACCACCACGGAATTTAAGTAAATATTAATACAAAAAGTGCTTCAATTGTTGGGGGTTTTTTTTATATTTGCAGGGATATTAAATATTTGATTAGATGTGAAAATCCATCTGGAGATGGGGATGGAATCTCCAGCCTGGTTTGGAGAAGATCCCTGAGGTCAGAGCCCATCCTGGGCACCCTCTGATCTCTCTGTGTCTTTGTGCTTCCTTCCAGAGGCCTGGACTTCGAGGGCACCACGATTGGATTGGCCTTCATGAAATCCATATGCAGCGATGCATTTTCTGCAGGTATTATTCAGGTCTGATTCATTTTTATTTCATTTTTTAAAGCCTTTCCTATGTTTTTTTCACTCTGCCAGTGAAGAACCTTTGTGAATATTGTTGGGTTTAGGGCACTTTCAGTTCTCTGGTTCATTATTAGACTGTAAAAATTCAAAATCAGAGCCCTGGAAGTGTCCAAGGCCAGGCTGGACAGGGCCTGGAGCAACCTGGGATAGAGGAAAATGTCCCTGCCCTGGAAATGGATGGGATTTAAGGTCCCCTCCAGCCCAAACCATTCTGGGATTCTGAGATTTTATTTTAAATGAAGTGCGTGGGGGTAAAGAAAGCGAACACATGATATGCACACCTCCATGGTGTCTATTTTGTAAATACATATATTTTAAATAAATATATTTCTATTTATAAATATCTTTAAATATTAAATAATAAAATATAATCCAAATAGATGCACAGATGGGGTGAGCACCACGTGACCCCTCNATAATCATGAGCTTGAAGGGACCCACAGGGATCATTGAGCCCAACTCCTTCTCTACACCCTGCACAGCAATTCACATTTTGGAAGGGGCTGATACTGAAACCCAATATCTGATAAAATCCTACATCACACATAAAATAAAGCATGAATTTTTAAACATGGCATGGTTTGCAAACCATGGGATATTTATTTCCTGATAAATCCCCTTTTCCCTCTCCTTTTCCTGACATGCTGTATTTGCATTTTCAGTACAAGAAATATGATGAAGATGCTAAAAATGTAAGACAAAGGATATTTGGAATAGTCAACTACATCAACACGGTGAGAGCAAACAAGTGGCAACGAAATCCAAGTGTTTTGTAATTTTTTTCTATTGAAAAAGATTGAAATCCAAATGATTTATGATTTTTTTCTATTGAAAGCCATTGAAATCCAAATTATTTGAAATATTTTTCTTTTGGAAACTACTGAATCCAAGTGGTTTATAAATTCTTTCTATTCTATTCTTTCTAAGCGTCATAAATTCCCATTGTTACATGTAGGAATGAATGAAAGCTCCACTTCATGGTAATTTATTCTCCTGTTCTTTGCCTTCAGATATGAGATTTTTAATAAGAATTATTTCTACTCCTACTTTAGTTATTTATACTCCTACTTCAATTATTTCTACCAATATTTTAAGACACTTTTTAATCACCTGCCAAGTGAAAGGCTGTTGCAAAAAGCATAAATTGATTCTTCATTTCTTCGGCAAGTCAAATTTCTTTTAACCCCATTTTAAAGTTGAAATGTGATGGGAAATCAGATTTTCAGTTTATTTGGTGAGACTTTTTTGGAATTCAGGGCTTGGAAAGACTTTGTTAGGTCTGGAGTGGATATTGGAGTGGAAAAGTGACCAAGTACCAGGACGAGGCTTTGTTTTAATTTTTATTAATTTTTAATTAATTCTCTGCTGCAGGTTTATAAAGCCATCAACACCCACGTGGCTCTGGTTGGCCTGGAGGTGTGGACAGATGGGGACAAGTGTCCCCTGACCAGGAATGCAGGCTTCACCCTGGAGGCCTTCTCCAAGTGGCGCCGGTCAGATCTGCTCAAGAGGAAAAGGAACGACAACGCTCAGCTCATCACGTGGGTCCCTTCCCTTCCCTTCCCTTCCCTTCCCTTCCCTTCCCTTC